ATATTTATATTAAACTGCACACTTTGTAAATAACATATCTATCTGCACACTAATAAACATATCTGTACATTTATCTAAACAATTAAATTTTTTCCTATACTTCTATTTCTGTATATAGTACATTATTCAAATTTTTTTTTTTTTATTATATTAGTTTTATATTACATCCCTACTGTGTTATTCCTATGTATGTCTACACTATCATGTATGTCTGCACTATGTTTGTACTTTCTTCTACACTGGAAGCTCCTGTCGTCAAGTCAAATTCCTTGTGTGTGTAAACATACTTGGTAATAAAGCTATTCTGATTCTGATTCTAATATTAATTTTTGAAAGTCTTTATAATGTTTACTTACATTTTCAGTGTGATCCCAGCTTTTTGAACCTCACTGTGCATGTGGGGAATTCTGTGTTAACTCCGGTGTGTATGCTCGTATGAGTGACAGCAAGTAGCATTTCCATTTAAAAGCTGCAGAGCAACTTTCCCAGCAGGTGAGTTCCTCCCCACGTTTTAGCCAATTACCTTTTCCGAAGAGCCAGGAGAGCTCATTAAAAAGAAAGGTTTGAACTGCTGGACGACTTTCCACTGCTAGTCCCTGCACTTGATTTTGACTTCACTTTTATCCCAAATCAGCTTCCACTCATCACAAGGGCTTTATCTCCGTAGCTCTTGAGGGTTCGATTCAAAAATAAATTACGAAAATGTTTAATGTGTTTTTTTCTAAGCAATAACTGGAATTGTTCAAGGAAAACTATGGCCAAGGCTTTGAAATTTACTTTCAATAATAGAGAAGTATTCACTGGAGAAAAAGTGTGACAACTAGCCCCAGTCTCCCCTATTAATCATAAACTTGACATTCAGCTTTTAAGCTTTGCGTAATTAGCTCTTTTTTTAAATCATTGAAAGCAATGCTTCAAGATTGACTTTTTGCCTCTTCTCTGATGAACCTTGTCTACTTGTACCTTTTGATATTTTATTTAATCTTTTTTATATATATATATATAATTTTGTGACCCACTTACTACAGGAATGTTTGAAATGACTTTGAAAAGCTGTACTTGAGAAACCTTACACAATTTCTTTTTAGATTTACTGCTTGATTGCAATGGATTCTCTATGGCTTTGTTGCGACCCAAGTTTATATTTCCTGAAAAATGTTGCCCTTTTAAGGGTCATTCAAGTATGGACAATGTATAAATGAAGAGGGGGTGAGAGTATATGTGATAACACTTTCTATGAAGCCCATATTTATAATACATTATAAGGGTATTCTTAAGGCATTATAATGAATGCATAATACATTATTTAAAAAAAACTTATATCATATAAATAATCATAATTATAATACATTATAATGCTTACGCATTTGTGGTTATAACTTTTAAGATTATGATTATTTATAACACACAATGAACATATTAAATCTACTTTTACATTTATAATGGACTATATATCTTGACATTGTTTATTTCAGATCTGCACAGTATCTTACTACATCTTGTAAGTGGTTAGGTGTGGAGTGTTATTTGAGAGTTCCCTGTGAGGCTAATATTAATTTTGATGTGAGCTAGTTAATAATTTCAACTGAAAAAATGCAATGTTTATATGTTGTTACATTTTATTTTGATGGTCCCCTTAGTCTATTGACTATAAGCAACTTTGCAACTACGTGTCAACTAACTCCTTATTAGAGTATTAGTAGGCTTAGGTTAAGGTTAGGCTAAGGTAGGTAGAATGTTGACGTACTTGCAAAGTAGTCAGTTTGTTGGGGAACCATCAAAATAAAGTGTTAGCATATATTTAGCAGACATACTACTAATACTCCAATGACTGCTAGTTGACATAGTTGCAGAGTTACTTATCAACAGCTGTCTAAAGGCTACCATCAAAATAATCAAACTGATATTACAATAAAAATAGTTCAAAGCAAATGTGTACACATTCATCTGATCTGATATCTGATCTTATGGCTGTTTGAGAAAAAAAAATTATTATTACTATTCTTATAAGTGGTCTTTGATTGCTTTAAGAAAGATGGCAAGATATGAGACTTATAACGCATAACTATGAGAAATATAATCCATTGTAATTTAAGTGGAAGCAACATGTTCACTGTGTGTTATAAATCATCATAGCCTACTCTTAAAAGCTATAACCACAAATAAGTAA